ACAGGCTGGCCGTGGCGCCAGGCCCTGCAGCGAGCTCGCCCCGGGGCTGCGGGCGGGCGGGCTGGAGGCCGCGCTGACGGGAAGCGGCGTGGGGAAGGGGAGGGGGGCGTTGCTATTTTCGCTCGCCACATCCTCTGTCAGTTTCTAAGAACCAGCGGCGGATTCCTGGTAAGAGATTTCGGGGTGTGACAATATCCAGCGAGCGCGCACGGCCGCGCCGGCGTCCAGCTCGGCTCCGGCCGTGAGGTGTGAAATGCCACCTCTTGCCCCTTGGCGAGAGCCGAGACGTGATGTAGGAGCTGGGCTGGGGTGCGCCCGTTGGTGATGCCTCCCGCGGCTCTCGGTGCGTCGTGGTGTCGAAATGGAGGAGTTTCCTCCTCTGGTTACAGCTTGGGTGGGGAGAAAACAGAAAGGGGCTTGCTTTTATTACAGGTGATAACGCTGCTGCTCCCAGCCTTCCTGTTTGTGGGGCTGGTGTCCCCCCCAGAATTGGGTTCCCTGGGAGGTGCGGGCGAGTCATGCGGGGCTCCCCGGCGGGGAGAGCAGGAGGGTAAAAGCCTTGTGAGAAGCTACATGGCAGCAGCATCATTCTCCTAATGACTCGCCGTCGATGGTGCACAGCATAAGGAACACGCGGCCGGGGCGGCTGTCGGGTCCAGCTGCCTTTGGGATCCCCCCAGTGATGCAGCGCGGGTCAGCCAGGGCGCCCAGCGGGGATTCGCCTTGTCCTGGCGCGGGCAGGGACGGGAGGAGGCAGAGCTGCGCGCAGCTTCTCCGCAGCGGGTGGGCTGGACCACGCCGAGCTCCAGGAGGCCTGGGGTGCGGGGCCTGGGGGAGGCAGGTGGGGCTCCAAGGTCCCCGGGGTGCTGCATGCCCTCCATCACTCCTGGATCTGGGAAGTTACGGTTGGCGAGGTCGATACCAGCCGGCGCGGAGTTGCTCTGCTCTGGCCTCTTGGTCGTCGTTGGCAGCTGACCGCCGTGATGCTGAAATCACACGCCGTGTCCAGGCATGAGCCCGGATGCTTCGGGAAGCTCTGATGTGCAGAATGTCTATTCCTCAAGATCATGGTCAGGCAGGGAGGTGGGGAGAAGACAACCAGAGCGTGGGCCTTCTCCCGGGGAGGGGCCTAGAGCACAGACAAGCTGGAGATGCCCCTTGTCGGAGAAAGGCTTCTTTGTCTTCCGCGTTTAGATGCTCCCGGGGCCGGAGATGTAGCCCGGCAGCTGCTCAGAGCTATTTATAAGGCTCCCACCTCTGAGCAGCAGAGAACTGAGGCCTCTTGTCTCGCTCCCTCTCCCGCAGGACTGCCTGAAAGGCTGTCAGGAGCAGATTGAGGCAGCCTTAGCCGAGAGCCTGAAACAGGCGTCCCAAACCCACCAGGAGTACAGCACCACCAAGACTGCTGCTTACCTGACCAGCCAGCCCACCAGCACGCCTACAGACGTCACGGATGTCAACCTGTGACCAGCCTCCCCTTCCCGAGAGCTGCCCGGCCCTGCCACAGCGGGACTTCGCCCTGGACACCGAAAGGTTGCTGCATCCCACCTACCCATCCACCAGCCCCCTCCAGCTGACGCCTGCTGAGGATTCGTTCCGCTCGCCAGGAGCACAGAGCAGGATCCGCGCTCGTCTGTCGGAGCTGGCAGCCAGAGCTCGACGCTACTCGTCAGCTTCTGCAGGTGGCCGGGGTGAAGCGACCGCTTTCATGGTGACAGGGCACCAGAATAGCTGGGGAGGGGGAGCAGGACCCCAAATGAAGTTGTAAAATGTTTCTCAGTTCGTGTTCCTCGTAGCCTGGCTGGCTGCTGTTCACTGTCTCCTCGGGGGTGACTTCAAGCCCTGCGTGGGCCACCGATCATGGATGGCGAGCCCCTTACCCTGGCCTACGTGACCAAAATCCTTACAAACGCCCAGCCCCCCTCCCCGGGCTGGGGTGCCACGAGCCCGTGTGGCTCAGGAGAGTGCACCGAGCGGCCGGGAGGAGGGACCCCTTGGTCCCGATTGCTTCGTGCCAGATTGCTGTGGCCCCTGGGGGCTGGTGTGGCTGCTTCTGCTTGGAGGGGAAATGTGGGGCTTGTTTCTTGTTGCTGTTAGATTTGGGATTTGCGGGTTTTCGGCTTGCTTAGGGGGCGCGCTCCCCGTCTGCACGGACAGCAGAAGAGAAGCCCTCGCCCCGGGGAGCAGCCTGCTGGGCGAGGTTTGGGCGCAATCCCCTTGGCTTTCCGCTGCCCCACTGAGGCTGCTTAATTTATTGTTAACTGCTGGGAAATGGGGAGGGAGGAAGACTTTGCTGTTCCTTGGTGTGGGGCCTGGATGCTGGTCTCCTCTCCTTCCGAAAGAGTGCCTTCCCCCTTTGTCCCCTTCCCCAGCTCCCTGGGCAATGGGAGACTCTCACTTGGTTGGTTTTTTAGGTAGCTTAGACATCAGACTAGGTTTTAAGAAATACATTTGAATGTGCTGCTATAGTCTGGAATGCATCTTCGCTCCTCCAAGGCAGGGATCTGGGATCACGTTCAGGAGGGGGCTGCGTTGCATCTGTGTCCGCGTGGGTCCGAGTTGTGTCCTCACCGGGTGGAAAATTCATGGTGCGCTTAAGTTGAAAAGCGATTATTGCCTTTTTGTATTGTTGTTGTTGATCCTGTCTGTTAGTTTTTTATAAAAAGTGGTTAAAAAAAAATAATGCTGCTTTTCTAAGAGAAAACCCATTAAATAGTAGAATTGTATTAACCAGAAGAAGCCGGAGAGACTCTGCAGGGAAGGGAGGCAGACTGCTGCTGCTTGGTGACCTCCGGACACGTGGATCTGTGGCTGTTGTCCTCCCGTGGGGGATGTGGAAAAGGAGGTAGAATAGAAATCTTCCTTTTTGGATGCCACTAGAAACAAAAGTTTTCTCCAGTGGAAAAAGATGGGGCTGCTGTTCTTCCACTCGCCTGATTTGTCAAGAAGAGCCGTCTGCCGCCGACTCCTGCTAGCAGGAGGGCTGGGGGGCGCGCAGAGCCTGTCTGTACAAAAAGAAGAATTTTTTTTATATATAAATGAGTTTTAATTTAAGAGTAAACTTGTTTGGTGTTCACACATGAGAGTCCCGCTGCTGGGAGAATCAGAGGACCCTATGACTTTGCAATAAAGTATTTTAAACAAGTATGAACGCCTCAAGGGTCCCTTTGCCA